ATACTTATAATGGAAATCTTCCCTCTGTGGCTTGAATTCTTCTAAGAGAAGCTAAAGAACTGTTGGGATAATCATAAAATCCCAATTCATAATTCTTGAACTTAAAGCTATGAGCAAAGTTAGAGGTTAGACACTATACCACCAGGTTCAATATTTTTAATGCATTCTAACACACTATTTATTTTAAAATTTTGTTCATATATTTCCATAGAGTATGACCAACTCATCGCTAAATTAGAGATTTAATGTAAAACTACTAAGAATTTGAATTAATTTTTTTTATATTATTGCATTCGTAAGCTTTTTCGTGCATAAATATGGCTTCTTACTTTTAGTATATGGTACATACGAATACCAGTGGCAACAGGTCTTACAGGAAACAACACCCAATTAGGTCAGAATAAAGCCCTAATTCTAATACAATAAACTAAACATTTTTATCGATGCAAATATCAACACTTGCAGTCGGAGACAACTTCTGTACATTGTGTTGCCCTTAAAGTTGGAAGAGCTTACAATACTTACAATAGTTTCCAAAATGGCTTCACATATAATCCTTCTTGAAGTATTTGTTTACCAAATGAAGGTAAAGAGATCAGATAAATACACTTTTGCTGACTTTGTGAAGAAATTGTCCCCTGGATATTGAAGTTATTTTTTCTGTACTCCTAGGCAATAACAAAAAGATGATTAAAGCATTGCAATTCATTATCATCATGACAACTCCTGCATAGTTTGCTTGTTGCAATGCGCCAGCGTTGAAGCATGAGTGGATTAGCACAACGGCTCATTTTATTTCAGTAAGTACACGAACTGCAGGTTTATATAAACTGAGAAGATTTTTTGTTCTTTTTTGTCTACTCCAGACCCTAGAGTACGCAGTCCTAGCGACTGCCCACTCTACACGATAAGTCTATCATTTATACGACACTGGAATATAATGAAATATTAGAGTAGTTACATTTTATTTAAAATATATTTGTGATATACAGATAGTTTGTGATATATAGATAGTTATTTTGATTAAAATTAAAACAAAAAATGTTAAGAACTTCTTTTTAAAATTAACGACACGGCATACTTTAATTTATGTTAACATTTCTTTAACAGTTAAAACATAATTTAACAGCAACTTTAGTTGCTGGTAAGGCATGTATAATGGCACATAACAGAGTCAGGCAATAAAATAACAGAAACAAACCTGTTGATATCGGAAAACCTATTCTGTTCTTGGTTTTGACTTAAAATTTGACTAGAAAACCCAAAAATTTTAATAAATTTGCCAAATTTTTTTTATAAACAAAAATTTAAATTTGATAATTTATTTTATATTAGAAATTTTTTTTGTTCATCATGGTTTTTCTCTGCAATTTGGAATTTATTTGCGTATTGAGTAATCAATTGTTTAATAGCATCTTTCATTGAAAATAATAAACAAATCATTAAATAATTCAAAGTCTCTTAAGAGCAGCAAAATCTAACACAACAAGCCGTAGACGTGCTCTTAAAGTGATCGTGAACTCTTTGTAAACAAAACAAAGCTAAACTTGCCATTCACGTATCGGGAGCTTTTACTATGCAGCATTTCTTAAGTAACGCCAACAGCAACTAACGCTGCGTCGCTGCATGCGTCTCTGCCAACACAGCGCTAGACACTCAATTTTTCTTATCTTCTCACATTTTATTATTCATATTTAGCAAATGCATACGTGATTTAGCCAACTTTGAGCATTTCTAAGACGCTGACTGAGACGTTGCCGTAGCCACGGTGTTTGTTACAATTTCTGTTGGTAAAGTGGCTGTAGTGGCTGTAGCAGTTATGCGCTTTGTATTTGTAACAGTGGTTCATTGAAAATGTTTTATATATTCGTCCGGTTAGCCGACGGAGCTCAGTTTGTGCTTAAACGCGGGGCGCGAATTTTGTACTCTGGATAAGCTGCAACGTTTTTTGGATTAACTGTAAATTTTGTGCATGGAAAGTGTTGCCCCAAAAAAAGAAAAACAAAATCAAAGTGGATGCTTGTAATAATTAAAATAAAATTTTTTAAATTATTTAATTGAATTATTTTCAAAAGATTCAATTCGGACTCAGCTAAATATCTTTTGCGCTAGTCTCGAGCAATTCTGTCTGTCTGTGCCTTAACCTGAAATAATTGCAGCAGTGAAATTGCTGGAAAAATAATTTCTTGCCATTAGAAAGTGAACAAGAAAAAACGCATACGCAAATATTTTTCGCAACCGCAAGAAAATATGTTGTGTTGAAAAAAAAAAAATAAATATATAATAGCAACCAAATAATTTGATTTTTTTTTTATTGTAAATATATATTTATTTAAGGATAATAACAAATATAATATAATGAACAAATCCCTTCTAATACACAAAATGTGTAATAACTGGAAACAATCTTACGGATTCAAAATCTGCATTGCATTTTTGGCAATATCAGCGATTTTATTGGATTTACCCACAACACAGGCGATAAGAATAGGAGCACAAACGCCACTGCGCACAGAAGGTGAGTAAGGACAATAAAAAAAAATGCAATTAATTGCGGCAAAACGATGGAATATTATATATTTGATTACTGTATATATGTTATGATAAATTACAACAAAATTAATTTATTATTTGTGACACATTTATAATATATAATATTATTATTATATATTATACTTAAACATATTACTTGCTAATATAATATTGATAGTATCGGTAAATATAAAATAAAACAAAAAAATAAAATAAAATAATATTCGACAAGAGATATACAAAATACAACATACGAAATAAAAGTAAAAATAATAAAATATAACAATCGACTTTAAAATATTATACAAAATAAAATAAAATAACCTAAAATAAAATGAAATAAAATAAAATAGAATAAAATAAAATAAAATAAAATAAAATAAAATAAAATAAAGTAAAATAAATTACACTAAAATTATAAATTAAATAATAAAATAATATAAACCAAATAAAATGAAGTAAATTAAAATAATATTATATATAACAAAAGAAAATTAAAATAAAATAAAATAAACAAAATAAAACATGTTGGAATAAAATTAAAAAATTAAATAATATAAACCAAATAAAACGAAGTAATTAAAAATAATAAAATATAAAACAAAAAAAATAAAATAAAGTAAACAAAATAATATAAAATGGAATAAAATACAATAATAATATAAATTAAATAAAATAAATTAATATAAGCCAAATAAAGTATTATGAATCAAATAAAATAAAATAAATTAAAATAACATGATATAAAAAAAAAAATAATATAAAATAAACAAAATAAAATAAATAAAGTGGAGTAAGATTCAGTAATAACGTAAATTAAAAAAAGAAATTAATATAAGCTAAATAAAATGAAAAAAGTAAAATAAAACAAAAAATATAAAATAAAACTAAATGAAATTAAAATTAGATAAAAGAAAATAAAATAAAATAATGTAAAGTAACACTAAATAAAAAAATTTTGAACATAAAATATGTCAAATTTTCAGCGAAAATATTAATTAGCAACAATATTTTTTATGGGAAAAATATATAAAAATTAAAATGTTAATATATATAATTTTGTTTAAAAAGACGAAAATAAACTTAAACAAAATAAATAAAATGAGATAAAATAAAATAAAATTAAATACAATACAATTAAATCTAATAAAATAATATAATATAAAATTAAATAAAAAAATTAATGAAACAAGATAAAACAAAATTATTAAAATTAAATAAAAAAAATAATATATTATATTCTAAAGCTAGTTACAATAGTTACAAATAATGATTTTATAGGAACACACTATATTAATATATATATAAATTTCATTAAATTAATAATTAAATTAAGAGATTATAACAGTAAAAGAACTTATTAAACAAAATATTCATCACACATTTTATATATTAAAAAAATATTATATTAAAAAAATTAATATTAAATATAAATTTGAAAATTAATACATAATTTAATAATAATTAATATTAAATTTAAATTAATAAAATATTGCAAGCATCAATGTTGTAATTTTAAAGAATTACTTATTCCTCATTATAATAAAAACTAAAATAAATTTTAATGAATTTGGCTAATAAATTTAACAGGAAAATAATTGCGAAGTTTATATATATGATATGAAAGTAATAATAAAAATGCATATTAATTATTGGTTATATAACTCTAATAATTCTTGATTTAAATTAAAATTTTTAAAATTTTAATAATAAATAAATTTATGAAAGCTATTTAAGTGCTAATAATAATTGTTAATAATAAATATATTCTGTTGCATAGTCATAAATTTGGCACATAATCAACTTGAATGAATTCACAAATATATTTATTATAATAGGATACAAAATCTTGTCTTAATAATATTGTAATAACAATAAAACTATAATACTCTTATAGTAGAATATTAATATAATATATAATATATTATAGTAAAAATTTATATTCTAACACGAAATGAGAAAATGAGATAATATATTCATTTAATAATGAAGTTGATTCAATATCTAAAGTCCATCAGATGATGAAATGTGGTTATTAACTCAACTTCATCTCATCTGTGATCTGTACTATCATTCCCACATCTGATCAAAATTGTTTGGGTTACCTTATACCTTCTCATGTTACTCATAAAAGTGAGGAAATAATAATATAGATTCATATCTATTTTTTATGTGAGGACAAATACGAAAAATCTTTAGTATGTTTGTAAGCACCACGTGTCTATTCTACAACTTTCATATTAAAATATAATATAATTTTGTTTTGATAATTACTTACTGCAGAGAATAGTATGAATGCAGAAAGATGGGATTCAAGCTAGGTCGGTTTACAAAGTAAAGGCTATTGTTGTAGAACCTATCCACAACAAAACTCAGTCATAGTATCACTGAAGTAAGTTTTTCAAACACGCGCATACACCCATTTTGACCCAAAATATAATATACTAAAATTTGATTCAATATGATATATCATTGATATAGTTTCAAAAAGTATGGTAGATCAAAATCAAATTATCTAAAACTTAAAATGTAAGTTTTCTTTTATTTCAAAATATTTCTATATATTCCATATAATCTTTGATTTCTCATCGTAGGCAATAATATTCTATTAAAATCTTTTCGAAAAACTTATGTAGTTCCTAATTAGATAGATAGATAGAAAGACATTTATTATTCGAAATTACATACATTTATTTTTTTTTAATACATGATACCAATTATGATATCACGTGTATTAATGTGGCAATACTAATAATTATAATACCTAAATATCACTATGATAATGGTAATAATTATATTTTAAAAAATATTAGAATCACATACTTTTAATGTCAATTATAAGTAAACTGCTTAGAAATATTCACTTTAAGTAAAGTTGCAATTACTATTAAATATCAGTATTTTTTTAAAAAATTTTATAAATAAATTTGAGATCTTCTTTAATATAGGCCGTTTATATTCGGTTATACAGAATATTCTAAATATCTAATTATTTAAATAGTTTAAAGTATATGAACAATTCTATTTAAATCCTATTATTGATATTCGCCCAATAGTTTAAATATATATAAACTATTCAAATAATATACGTAGCAGTAATTCTTATTTTGCTTTTATTACTATTAAGTAATAACAGATAAATTTACTAAACTAGAAACAGAATTTATTGATTTATTGATTATTGTTTAACAATATATATATTAATAATTTATTACAGATAGATTAATATTAACTTTATTTGTTTATAATGAATTCAAAATTTTTACACTGAATTATATACATATTCTAAGAATATTTTAAAAAATTAATTACTATAATAATTCAATATATAGACAATGCAATAATTAATAATACAAAAATTAATAATACAATTAATAATAATACAATAATTAGAAATAAAAATTTAGCAAATGTTAATTAAAAGAAATGATACATTTTTGTTATTAAATTAATTGAGCTAATATAGCATAACTAGCGTCATAAAATAAAAATTTTGTATTTATTATAAATATTTAATTTTTTTAATACTACATTTAGTTTTACAAATAATTAGATTTTATTATGTTAAAGTCCTAAAAAACAGAATATATAATTTAGTCCAAAGACAAATTAATTTCTTCCTTTAAGTTTAATTATATCAGTATTTATAATTGTGCTGTGTTCACATACGGCTGTTCTAAATTTTTTAAATACTTTGAATACCTAGTATATCTATTCAAACAATTCTCAAAATCAGAATATTTTAATTTGCCAAATGGTTGGAAATAGTTTAAATAAATTCTTATAAACTCTGCTCTACTACAGTATCCTTTACTAATATAATGTTATTAATAGTTAGAAGAATTCGAATAGCAAAGAAAAGACAAGGACAAAAATTTATTTAATTTATTGAAATTTGTCAAGTACTCATTATCAGTGATCTTAGGAAATATTCGTATTTCTTAATTAGTTAACAGTCCGTATATAATTTATTTTGACTGCTATTCGTCTAATTTTTAAATAGTTTCTTTTCGTCATTAAGACCATCACTCTCGGCAAGAAAAAATTAATATTAATATTATTAAAAATTTTTGGAACGATCTATTATTTATTTGTTAATGAATTATTAATAAAAAAAAGTTTTATGTATTAAGTTATAATATTATGTTATTACTAAATTTGATTTTAACATCAATATGACAGTAGTGTCTATTTTTAACTTTAATAGAAACTGTTGTATTGAATAGAGAATAATATAAAAAAAAATTATAAATATTTAAAATAATAAACAAACAATATTTGTTGTTGTAGTTCATTACTTTTCGAAACCTCTCTATTATGTTATTATCAATTATTATCAAATTAAAATTTTTATATGCTATGGCAAGAAATCTATTTCGAATAGACTCTAAAGTAATAGCATTATGACATTATAATAGTGTATAAACTATTAAAACTCTTATTAGTAATAATTTAAAGTTGTATGAGACTACTACATTTTGTAGATAAACCAATAATAATTATGTAAAATAAAAACAAAATGCTTATCGTAACGAAAAAGTGTAAAAAATAATAACTAATAATAATAGCAATGATAACATATTTAAGGTGTCATAATATGAAATCATATAAAATCACAAGTATAATTAATTATTACGTATTAAAATAATGATAATGATAAAAATTAAGTTAATTACTATATACAGCATATAATACCTTTAATTTTACCTATCGTTTTGTTTATATTTATTATTATATATTACTTTTAAGTTATTATTTATTTATTTTGAATGCATAAATAACACAAATATTAAAAAACGGTTTCATGCAATTATTTTATTTTTTTAATATTTTTTTTTTCTTACAATAAATAAACTTAATCCCATGTTATAAATTTAGCTCATAAAAATTTAAAAAAATAAAAATAAAATACATAAAAAGTAAATGTATATGGAGGAATAATTTTAAAATTCAGGTAAAAGTTAGCTCAAACGAATTTTTGTATAA